TCTTAAATTCTCTCATCAGATAGAGTAAGATTTAGATTTTATTTTATTTTTAACAAAAATAACAGCTGTTTGAATTTTGAATAAATTGAGTACAATTTTTGCACTCACCCAATATATGTATTGTATATCCATCAATCCAATATTTAATATTCAATATATTTAATATCAATCTTAATTTAATCTCACAAAGTGCAATCTGATTCAATATTATTACATAAAATTTGTCTCGACCATCGCGCGTTAAATATTAAAAATTTATTATCAATAAATCACTTTATTTCTAGCATAGATTGAATTAATATTGCAAAAATAATATAATAATAAAGTTAATGTAATTAAGAGCTCTATAACTTTGCTCTGCTCTTTCACAATCATCTATGATAGAATATCTATCAAACAAAATACTTCCCATATTTTGCTATACAGAGAATTACTAATTAATTTGTCATCAGTAAAATAAATTACAAATCATAATTTATAATCAGTAAAAATGAAATAAATGTATATTAAAGAAATCAATTAAATATAATCTTCAAATTTAGGAATCTCATGAATTTATAACATTTTTCCACAATTATTAAATAAATGTCACACTATGCATTGAAAAATTGTAAATTAAAGATTAGACTTCAGAACGGAACAGATTAAAATTAAATATTAAAAATTATCTCTTCTAGTCTCCAATTCCCTTCTAGTCTCAAATTCTAATTTCCAATTCCCAATCCTCACTCTTTAATGAACTGTGACATGAACTTTTAGCTTTGCTTATAAATAATCTCATATGATTTTATCATTTAAAACATGACTACTATAATAAAACAAACATTTTAGTAAAATATCCCTACATAATTAATTCAGCAGCATTATAAACAATGTAACTTTTCTAATGGATATCAAATAGTAGAGCAAAAAATTCACTTTAAAGTTTAACTTATAGTTAACATTTTAAGGTCATTTGAGATAATTTATAAGCAGTGTCTACAGCCTATGCCTGCATTAGAGATTGAGGATTTCAAATTGAAGATTAGAATTCATCTAATGAGAATAAAACAAATTAAAAATATTAAAATTAAATATCAAACATCATCTGACTAGTCAAATTCTAATCTTCAATTTACAATCCTCAACCTCCAATACAATGACACAGGCTTTAGATAAAGCTTGTAAATTATCTCATATGACTTTATCATTCATTTAAAATTTATATAACACTACTAATATAACAAAACAAGCATTTTGACAAATTAAGGAAATACACTTCCTACATAATTAATTCAGCAGCTTTATAAACAATGTAGTTTTTCTAGTAGTTGTCAAATAGTGCAGGAAAAAACTCACTTCTCTCTCTTTAAAGTTTAACTTATCAGTAACATTTAAAAGTCATTTGAGGTAATTTATAAGCGATGCCTAAAGCCTGTGTCACTGTATTGGAGATTGAAAATTGCGAATTGGAGTCATCAGAATTCAATCAGTGAGACAATCACGAACTGTTACTGCAATTTCAATAAAACACTGAGATTAGAATATTAATAATACCACCGTATAATTAAATGCAAGTAGGACTGCAAATTAAAAAATCACCATTTTTAAATTCAACAACAATTCCGGAGCGTAAAGGTAAAACGGAGCAGATTCCTAATCGTCACCGGACGTTACTACTTGCGAACTAAATTACCCAATTAATAAATTTCAAGCTTGAGATCGAGATATCGGTTTGATTGATGCAACAAAACAATAATAGCAGCAAGATAAACGTAGCGTAACGTTCGGACTCGCCGAACCCGCAAACATTCACGAAACAAAACATCCTCCCGATGTCTCGATCGCCATTACACCCCATGAGGACCCCATGAAGGCGCCGCTCCGCCGAGCTCGCCGGGGCCTTCACGGGGACGCCGCCGATCGTATCCAGGAGGCGTGCAAGCCTCCTCGCCGCCGGTGGCCGTACCTCCGCCGCGGAATTAACTTTCGAACTGACCCGGAAGACGATGTCACCATGTGCGCGCAAGCAATGCAAGCATCTTTCTTGAACGGGCGAGCCGCACGACTTGGAACGACTCCGCTCTGCGGCGCCCTCGGCAGTTTGCTTTACGGTTGTTCTCGCGTCGCGTTCTCACGGCACGACGAGACAGGACGACGACCGACGATGCGATCGACGACGACGACGACGACGACGAATAGTAGGAGGAGGAGGAGGAGTAGACGGTGAGGGTGCTCAGCCCCGTGTGATGTTAATATGCGGTCACATCCGCCATATCCGTAGCGGCGTGCTGGCGCGTCGTCGATTCCGTTCTGCGACACCTAATAATCACCGTTTTACGACACGGCATCTTTCCATATCGCGAACTTGGGCGAACTGCCCCTCGGCCGACGGACACCGACGGACACTGCCCGACTCCGACCTGTAATAAATTGACAACCGCACGCAAGATGAATGAAGATGGCCGTTGAAAGTCTAGGGACAGTGATGCCAAGTCTGTTCGAAAGTTATTTCTTATATTGTGATTTTCTCAATATTTTAGGTATAATTTCGATTTTTTTTGTATTTTCTTCCCCAAAAGTTATCCGGAAATTTTCCTAAATTTTTTATAACCCCAAAAAATTTCCCGGTAAAAAGAAAAAAACATCAAATTTGAAAGAAAATTCTATAAATTTGGCAACTCTGTTTAGGGATTTTCATCAGTTTCCTAATCAGGGAGCTTATTACAGTTTTTGTGACGAAGTGAAAATTATCGTAATAAGCCTCCCAGCATATAGTGGCTGCGTTCAGCAGACGCAACAGTTTTGCAACCGTTTTATGATTGTCTGCTGAGATAGGACCATTCTTCTAGATCTAAAAGTATGATCCAATCAGCGCGAAGGAAACTTCCAACAGTTGCAAAACAAACGTTCTGCTGAACGCACCCAATGTTTAAAAAACATTTTTTAAGGCCAAATGCGATTGGTCAATTCCGATGGACTAACTGGCCAGTTAAGTTAACTGAGCTTGATGACAGTGGCTCTTATAGGACAAAATGCCTTCCATTACTTAGGGCGGTATTCATATGAGGGGTCTACAATAGAAATCGTAGCGGTCGTAAGGTTTTAAGTCGTAGAAAATTGACCAATCACAGTTGATTATTCTGCTCATATTCGACTGTGATTGGTTAATTTTCTACGACTTAAGATCCTACGACTACTACGACTTCTATTGTAGATCCCGCAATAGTCGATTCTAAATGATTCTACATTGATCGCATCGCAGCGTCGCAAGCGTGTCGCAAGCGTTATGATCCAATCAGAGTCGAGCTAGCTTGACGTTGATTGGACTGCAACGCTTGCGATGTTGCGATGCGACTAATGTAGAACCAGCTTTATGCGGGGTCTACAATAGAAGTCGTAGTAGTCGTAGGATCTTAAGTCGTAGAAAATTAACCAATCACAGTCGAATATGAGACAAATAATCAACTGTGATTGGTCAATTTTCTACGACTTAAGCCTCTACGACTGCTACGACTTCTATTTCATGCGTCGTCTACAATATATGGAATAAGCTTGGTTTAAGAAGTAAGATTAAGAAATTGACCAATCACAGTCGAATGTGAGAAAAATAATCGACTGTGATTGGTCAATTTCTTATTCTTACTTCTTAAACCAAGCTTACTACTTGTATTGTAGACGGGTCAGTAGACCCCGCATAATATTCAAGACCGTCTTAAGTACAATCTTAAGATGTCATGAACCAATCAGAGGGCCGTATAAGTAACTTGCCGTATTAGTATGAACTAAGGCACTAGATATGTAGGTATTCTCATTCGCCATCTTGGTTCCACTTGATTGATAGGTTACAGTACGATTAGTGAGTTTAAGATATATAAAGGTATATGTTAAAAAGAGCCTAAATTTTGATAAAATACACCGAATTAATCCGTTTTCGCGTAAAAATAAAGATTTAAGAAAAAAATGTCACTCTGTCCTGCGAGATATTAATCCTTAAAGATCCTTAAGGATTAATATCTCTGCTATTAATCCTTAAGGATTAATCTCAGGTTACTAATCCTCTGTTATTAAACATTAATCCTTAAGGATTAATATCTCTGCGAAGCAGACCTTTTTCTTGTCAAATCTTTATTTTTACGCGAAAATGCATCGATTCAGTGTATTTTTATCAAAATTTGAGGTGAGCGGGTTCCTCTTAATTAACATTTACCTCTGTCACTAATCGTACTATGGCAATCAAGTAGAACCAAAATGGCGGATAGGAATGCCTACATATCTAGTGCCTTAGTATGAACGAAAGCATTGAAATCCTATGGTTGAACTTTACCGGCATAAATTAACGGTTACGGCCATTATAAATTAGACTTTCTTCTTCTAAATTTGTACAAACGCGTATTGTATGTACGCGATAGAAAGTACCGATTCCCCATGAGGAGTACTTTTCGAGCTGCGTAGGTTACGAAAACCAATCGTAAATTCGTTTAGCATTTCTGTTAGAGTGTACAACAGAAATTCTAATCAGCAATTGGTTGCATTAGTTCCGCACTTCTCTAATCTTCCGCGAAATACGCCCAATGCCGGCTTTCAGGGTGCCTTCACATGCGGCGTACCTTGCCTAAGCGTAACCTGTGTATTCTAGTAATTTACTAAAAGTTACGCCAGTTTAAAAGTACCTCATTCACATGGTGCGTATTTCGTAAAATTCGCGTAAAACATAACCAATAATTTTATAAAGCTAACCAATGACAGATCAAACTTTCTTTTGTACAATAGAGCAAAAATACTAAACGGCTCCTTTATTGGTTGTTATTATTTAGGCGTATTGTTAAATACGCGTCATGTGAATAGGGTACTTTATACGTAAGAATATGTGAAAGCGCGCTCAGAATGGCGTATTCTAGTAAATAAAAAGTAACGTATTCTAGTAAATTACTAGAATACGCAAGTTATGCCGTATTGACGGCGCCTTTAGTATAGGGACTCTAGCCGTGACACCGGTCTCTGTAAACTGTAAAGTGATTTCAGTTGGTAACTGGCAAGTGGCAGGATGGCGACGACTATAAACGGTGTGTTCCGTGAAGAGATACGCGATGCTATTTTACGTAGCAAAGTACTCGTCGTCGGCGCCGGCGGTATCGGCTGCGAGATCCTCAAAAACCTGGTTATGTCGGGATTCGCCGACATTGAAATTGTAAGTATAATTTTCTAGTTAACGTAACCTCACTTTTGAGCGATTTACATACAGCGTCATCGTAGGGTTGAAGACGCAAATATACCTAATTTCTCCATCGTGGAAAAAACCCTCGTTTTATTCCCATTAACGATGATAAATATGAAGTATTCTTCTTTTTTGTTTTTTTTTATATTGATATTAACACACTTCATTGTTTTAAATAATGAAAGCACTACGAATATCTGTATATTGTACGATACAAATGTTTCTGCTGGATTGAGACGAGTTTTTCAATTTATCGATTGATTGATCGCATTATGCGCAAAATTCAACTTTGTTTCATAAAAGTTGTCTTTGGCACAATATGATTGATTAATCGATAAATTAAAAACTCAATTCTTTTTTTCTCTATCTTTTCTTTTCTGTTACAATTGTCTTATTCATTTCTAACTAATTGATTTGTTTTAATGTTTATTTTTATTGTAATTTGTATATTTTCTTATCATATATGTTTTTCAATCAATATTAAATTACTTCATTATTGATGTTTTGCTATTTAATTATATTTCACATATAAAAAGGAAGTCTATGAAGATTATAAAGATAGAGACCCTAAGATCATAATGTAAGCTATAACAAATTCAACATGTTGATTTTTTCCTAAGCTCATTCTACAATTGTGTAAGCATAGTTGTAAGTAGTTATGGTTGTAAAAATTGACCAACCAATCTAGGATTGGCAAAAACCCAATTTTTTTCAGGAAAACCTAAATTTTTAGGGTTTTTGTGGTTCGTGAGATTTTACCTTTCGACAAACTACTAATAATTGAGCCCATTAAGATGTTTAAATAATCATTTAATTAATATAAAATTTAATTATGATAAGAGTAAAAATTGAAATATGTTTCGACTCACAGAGCCTTCATCAGTTCGTTAACATAAAATTCCTAATTATATTCTATCATATATGAATCATAGCCTATCTTAAGTACTATTGCAATTATTAAGTATAATATTATTTATATTTTTTTGATAGAAACTGTATAATTTATATAATATAATTAAATCTATTTATAAATTATATATTATATTTATATATTATATAACTTGTATAACTTATATATGTATTATGAGTTTAATAAATTGATAATTGAGTGATAAATATGTTTCTTTTATTAAGTTTTTGTTTGAAAATGCTAATCTAAGATATATTAATATTATACAAAACAATGAAAAATTTGTCATGCATCTGGGTTTTTGTAATTTGTACCTGGATTTTTGTATTTGGGTTTTTGTACAAAAATCCAGTTTTTCTATACCAACCCTGGATCAATCATAGTTGAATGTAAGGAAAATATTTGACTATAATTTTTTTCATTATTATAATATTATCTTCAGATTGTTCTCAATTAATCATTATTTTTCAGATTGATTTGGACACAATTGACGTCAGCAACTTAAATAGGCAGTTCCTGTTTCAAAAGAAACACGTGGGAAAATCAAAAGCCAGTATAGCATGTGAAACGGCATTGACATTTAATCCAGATGTCAAAGTGATACACTATCATGACAGTATTACGTCGTAAGTTTATTTTAATGCCTTGTTTTATTTGTAGCAATGCCGACGTATTCATTCGATGTTCTAAAACTTTGTGTGTTTGCAGATCAGAATTCGGCTTAACTTTTTTCAAAAGGTTTACAGTGGTTTTAAATGCTCTTGACAATAGAGCAGCCAGAAATCATGTAAATCGTATGTGTCTAGCAGCAGATGTACCATTGATCGAATCTGGCACTGCAGGTTATGAAGGTCAAGTTGAACTCATCAAGAAAGGCTTGAGCCAATGTTACGAATGTACGCCTAAAGCTGCACAAAAGACTTATCCTGGCTGTACCATTCGCAACACACCCAGCGAGCCTATTCATTGCATTGTTTGGGCTAAACATCTTTTTAAGTAATTATTACAAAATATTTTACGTTAAAAAGATATTTTATTGTGTATTGCACTGATTAAAATGTGTTCGACTCCCGGCCGAGGTAATATTTTTCGCAATAAGTTTAATTACAGTTTTTCAGCATATTAATATCTTTGAAATATGATGAGTGTCGAAATGATTAAAATTTAATTTAATTCGCGAAATTTACTATAGTGGTTTAATTGTGTTTAGTCCGGAAGTATTTCGGTGCACAGTTCGTTGGACTACAATTGTGATATATATGTCAAGTACATATATATCATATTTAGTGATTCAAGATTGAATTATTTAAAGCATTTTAAGATCTAGCTTCGACCATATGGGGCTCTTATTTATCGGTTGTGTCTCTCACATACGCGGTCTGAAAAATGATAAAAATGTGTAAATTTAATTGAATTTTTATTTTTATTACTAAAAATGAATTTTACGAACAATAATTCTTAATCGATTTATTTTATAATGTGGGATAAACGTTGCAGTCAGTTATTTGGAGAAGAAGATCCCGATCAAGATGTTTCTCCGGACACTGCAGACCCTGAAGCGGCTGGTAATATAAATTATACTATAATATATGATATAATTTATAACAATAATTATAACAATAATAGTTAATAATTGTTAATACAATTAGAGTATTTAATTACGATGGTCTTATCTTAAGAATTATACAAATATTTTTAATGTTTATAATTAAATTTCTTATTTTCTATTATTATTTGATCAGTAATAAGTTATTATTGATAGCAAAATATAATAGTAGAGGGAAAGGAGATAATATGGGTTCCCATTTTATTTTTTGTTTAATTATTTTTAGTTATATTCAAGTCAATGATATGTCGAATGATTATTGATCTCAAAATAGAATAACAGTACCTTAAGAATTAACTTAGAATATAAACTCATTACTTACGAACATCAACTACATTAAACTTGACATTAAAAATCATACAAAAAACTTGGATATATCTCGTAATAGAGTAATATCAATTGTCAGCAAAAAAAATTGCGCTAGTTGTGGCAATTATTTCACAATTTCGATATTTAAAATTAAATTAAAATCTTTTACAAGAAATGGTATTTGTAACATAATTGTAAGTGGGAGGCTCACATTGTTATCTTTTCCTCTACTAATAGTATTTTAATATATAGATATAGCTGGAGAAGAGGCTTTGCAAGCTGAATCCAACAATAAAGGCAATATTGACAGGATTTCCACACGAGCTTGGGCCCAATCTTGCGAATATGACGCAGAAAAACTATTCACAAAGCTCTTCCATGATGACATCAAGTATCTGCTGAGCATGGACAATTTATGGAAAAAGCGCCGATCTCCAACGCCATTAAAGTGGAGGGAACTGCCAGATGGAGGTTTGCTACTATCTCACACACAAATATCTCTCCCAATTTTCTCAATGAAAATAATGTATTATTTTCTTGAAGTGGCTGGATGCAGCAAAGAGATCAATCAGCCTGGACTGAAGGACCAGCAACGATGGAGTATTTCCAAATGTGGCTCGATTTTTGCAGAATCGATGAAGACTTTGAGCCAAACATTGAAGTCTTCTCAAGAAAAATCACCAGGCAATCATTTGGTTTGGGATAAAGACGACCAACATGCTATGGATTTTGTTGCTGCGTGTGCCAATATTCGCGCGCATATCTTTGGAATTCCTCAGAAAAGCAGATTTGATATCAAATGTTAGTAACAGTTCCGTTTAATTGCATCTTTCTTGAAATAGGTTCCTGGAATGGGTTCCTGTTCATATTATACTCTCACAATCTCTTCAATTTAAAATTAAAGTATTATATATATGAAATAATATTCTCTCAGGATCGAATCTGGGAAGAGTGTGAGTCGATCGCTTTCGCAGCAACGAAGCGTAACTCAGCATCTCGTTCTTTCTTTTCAAAGTTACATACAATAACAAAGTTATATTCAAAGTTGTAAACAAAGTCAATTATATACAATGTACACTGCAAATAAACAATTTTGAATCATTTTTAAAAAATTGACATTTTTGGGATCAAATATTCGAATATCTATAACAATGTAGTTTTTAAACTAATTCTTCAGATTTAATAACAGTTGAAATCTAAATCTAAAAATTAATTTAATTATGGACATTTGAATAAGAAATCCCAAAAATGTCAACTTTTAAAAAATGTTTCCAACTTTTGATCTGAAGTGTATCTGCGTCTCATTTTGAACATTATTCAAGTTGTTCAATTACTGTTTGTAAAATCTTTGATTCTGATCTATTCTTTTTGTTCCTTAGCAATGGCTGGCAACATAATTCCGGCGATCGCCACCACCAATGCTATCATTGCGGGCATGGTGGTCCTCCATGCCTTCCGGGTCCTTGAGAACAATCTACGAGCCTGCAAATCTGTCTATTTGCGCTTGAAGATGAATCACCGCAATCAACTACTGGTTCCAGAAAAGGCAGTGAATCCACCTAATCCGCAGTGTTATGTTTGCGCACCTACCCCGCAGGCTACGTTGGCAGTTGACACCTCCAGCATGACTATTAAAGAACTGGAAGAGCTGGTACTTAAGAACAGACTCAACATGATCGCCCCCGATGTAATGATCGATGGAACCGGTGCTGTCGTCATTAGCAGCGAGGAAGGTGAAACGGAAGGCAACAACGATAAGAAATTGGAGGAGCTGGGGATCAGGAATGGAACGATTCTCAAAGTCGACGACTTCCAGCAGAATTATTCACTGACCGTCTTTATAGTTTATCGAGAGAAACCTGGTCCAAAGGACGATAGCCCGCAATTTTTAATATTGGCGGATAAGAACGCGCTTCAACCGAAGAAAAATGAAGAAGAGAAAACGGAGAAGTCTTCCAGCTCTAACGGACAGGTGAGCACTTAGGGAAATATTTCTCTCGATTACTTTGTTTATTTATTTGCTAAAAAAATATATTTTTGCAGAATGTGATGGAAACGTCAGAGATAGCTAAGAAACGAAAATATGAAACTGAAGCTAAAGTTGCAGCTAAGAAACGTAAGGTGGAAGTTGATAATGGTGATGATAGTGACGATATCTGCATTATCAGTAACGACGACGTAATTCATGACAATTCAACCGAACTGAATAAATTAACGTTGAGGAAACGGAAGCTTTCCGATGATGGTGATTGCTTGATAGTATGTGATGATGATAACGATTAACTCTGAAAGTAACAGATGAGCTTCAAAAGAAAGAGAGATTGGTTTGAAAACGAATTTGAAAACGTTTGAAATTCAAATCGAAACGAAAAAGAGATAAAATACAACAAAGAAAGATTTTAAAGAGAATAAAAGAGATAGAATACAACTGTAAGAAATAAGATATTTGTGCACAAAAATTAAACGCAAAAGTTTGAGTTATTTTTAAATATAACGTAATTTATATGTGAAAGAGTGAAAAAGTTTATTTTTTCCTATTAGTGACATACGAGTTTCATATTAACAGTTAATTTAATTTTGTATATTGATGGAATATATACTGTGTAATGTATCATCATATTATCATTACTATTGTCATTATCTTGATTAGTAAAAAAAATAGATGGTTTTTTTCTTATATACTAAGGTGTTTTATTGATTAATATTCTCACCTCGTCACTGCAATCTAGAATTTTTATTTAGTAAAATTATACATAATTTCATTTTATAATTAATAACACATGTTTTCAATAATTTAATGATTTCTAAATAAGCTTTCTGAAAAGAATTTATATTCGCATTTATATTTCTTTCATTTTATAAAAATATGAACATTTATTTTTAAAAAAATCAGAATATATCAGTTTACAAAAAAATATCACGTGTTTAAAAAATATTGTTATTTATCAAAAAGATTATTTATCATATGTTAAATATTACAGCATTTTTTGCTTGTCAATTTTTTGCTTCTGCACAGTGCAAATATTTGTCTAACTTATAATTATACATCTCGAAGTCGACTTTATACCTTTTATACAGCCGCAAGACCATATCAGTGGTCACGTTGCGAAAGTATTTGCATGCTACATTAAAATTTGTGACCCCGGTACGAGTACGTTGCAGTCTGGGCAAGTAGATGTTATTTTTATCTAATTTCAATTTTGTCAAGATGTAATTGATCTCTCCGAAAGTGTATTCGTCCAGCTTCAGGACGAAATTGTATCTCACATTGCAAACCGCGCAGTGAGTGTGATATTGGGCCCAGTGAACGTCATCGTGATCCGGAGGTTGTTTCAGCAACCATTCTAGAAATTCTCGGAAGCTGGGTACCACCTTCAGTCTGCAGAGAAACGAAGATTTTATACTACATTCTATATTATTTGAATTAATTATAGAATATGAAAATGAGAGACACAAGCATTCGTTGTATACCTTCTGTCCGCCAAGAATATTCTTTGCAGAACGTTGCCGCCCGATGCGTTGAAACGAAAGAGTTCTGGCCTCGAGAGATGAAGAATTTGGCGAGCATAGAGCCAGGATTGTGCGGTGTACTTACTGGTGTCTTCGATACGATCTCTATAAGTAATTTAAATTAATATTTACTCATCAAGATTAATCTTGGCGTTACAGAATAAATTAGCGTGAATTGGAATTACGATGGAATAACAAAGTTCGTATTTCTCTCTTCAATTTGTGAAAATCGTATCAGTTTTATCGCATATTATTTAAGTATATTGCCTCAGAGTATTTCATAACAAGATTAATTACCGGTATGATGAAATGAGTCGTTGAAATGGATGCCTGACTATAAGCAATTTGAAGATTGTATTATTGCTAGCAAAACGCTGTAGGTCTTTCAAATTTTCCGGCGATAGAAAGTCCACTTCTCTACAAATGCAAATTAACATTTTATGCATTAAATTAGTTTATTCTCATCAAAATAAGATGAAAAAAACATATGTTGAAATAAAAAAACTTAACATATAATTAAGGGGATTGGCGGAATAAAAAAGGCACAATTCTACTTAGGCCCTTTTTCCGGAGATTAGCGCAAATAAATAAGAAATTGATGTTGCTTACATTAATTAAATATGAACGTGTTTCGATTGTCCTGTGATGGTGAAAACGATATAATGTATGGAAAAAGGGCATAAATGATTTAAAATTATTAATGAGATTTTTTACCAGAGATTGAACGAAAATGATATGACAATAATGTGTTTTCATTACAACATATTTATGTTAAAAAATCTTACGAAAACTCAACAGATGATGATTGAACATTATTTATTTATTTCAATTTATTTTGTACAAGTAAAAGTAAAATATATTTCATATTCATTTTGCATTTCTTTTAGAAGACTGAAAATAAAAAATTTCTGCAGTTCATTGTCTTTCCTTTCTGTCGATTCTTACAATATTATGATCAATGTTAGAAAAAAGGGAACTAAGTGCATTTTTTAAATTGCAAATAACTTTTTAAATATTAGTCTCGGTAGTCTAATGGTTCAGAACGCTCGTACGGAATACAAGAGATTCGAGTTCGACTCCCGGCCGAGGTAATATTTTTCTCAATAAGTTTAATTACAGTTTTTTCAGCATATTAACATCTTTGAGATATGATGCCAGATTGAGCATCGAAATGATTAGAATTTAATTTAATTCGCGAAATTACTACAGTGGTTTAATTGTGTTTAGTCCGGAAATATTTCGGTGCACAGTTCGTTAGACTACAATTGTGGTATGTATGTCAAGTACATATATATCATATTTAGTGATTCAAGATTAATTTATTTAAAGCATTTTAAGATCTAGCTTCGACCGTAGAGCTTTAATTTATCGGTTGTCTCTCACATACACGGTCTAAAAATGATATTATTTTTTAAATATTGATCATAATAGAGAAATATTATAACATATAACTTCTCAGACATTATATAAATATACATTTAATACTGTTCCCATTTGTGGTATAATAAAAAAGTAACAAGTTATTTTAATTTTTAATCAAGATTTTGTGATTAGGCCTTTACTCCGCCTATCCCCTCAATTATCTTATAAATTACACAAAAAATAAAGTAAATTTTTCTGAATTTATTAAGAAAAGAGACGGCGTAAATATTTTGATTTCTATCAAGAACTCAGGATTTTTGGCATGATAGATCAGTACGTTGTCTGGTCTGCCATGCCACGCGATGCGCTCAGAATAACATCTGATAATGAATATATTTTAGATGTAAGTATTTAATTATAATTAATATTAGAGTTACTTGTAAAGATCATGGTCGACTTGTCGGTTGCTCATGACGGAAAATAATTTGGTGAAACTGGTGGACGCGACTTTGCGAATCCAACAATATAACGACTTATGTTCGACATTGTATAAAAAATGCCTCTTGATAAGAGGAGTCCTCAGCTTGTACTTCGCGCAGACGTTCGATATTTGTTGAAGTAGAGTCGCGCTCTTCTGTTCAATTAAAATTTTTTTTAATACAATTGTTATTTTTATCTGTGTAAAATAAATTGATAATCGAAAAAATGGAATAGAATCAAATGTAAAATTATTTTAAAAACTTTTTTTACATTAAATTTAAATAACTTTGAGGATTAAAAAAAGATATTCATTTTGATGATAAAAATTGAAATTCGGAATGATTAAAAATTTTGCAAAATTACGCACAGAGCGATTAAAAATTATATTTTGAGTTCAATTATTTATAGTACTACATTTTTCAAACTCTTAGCACCTCTTCCTCGATAGTATAGTGGTTAGTATCCCCGCCTGTCACGCGGGAGACCGGGGTTCGATTCCCCGTCGGGGAGATTTTTTTTTCCATTCCATTATATATTAATCTTAAGATTCAGGTCTACATATTTTTAGTTTCATTTTCTTCTCTTACTTAAATACTTATTTAAGTTCTCAGAGAAATATACCTGTAGGTCGATGGTTCCACCCTCTAATTCGTCTCTCCGCAATATGTTGATCTCCGACTCGACATTCTTAATTATCCTATCTGAAGTCGAAAAGTGGGGCGTTTGTTGCTGATGCTTGATCGTCACGCCTATCGTTTCTTTTATGTCGCAGTTTCTTCTCGTTTTAATTAAAATTATGCAAACAAGGAAGTACAACACTATGCACAAACTATATTTGAAAAATTGCGCTTTAACGGACAATGAATTGAATATCGCGAAGAAAGTCATAATTTACAATTTTTCAGTAGTCATAAACTGCGACACATTTTCATTTTATTAAAATTTATGTAAAACACCACTTAAATCCTTTCAAACTTTATATATAATAGAAATTCATGAAAAAGATTAGAATTAATCTTTGATGTCTATAAAACAACTGCAGCACGTTAGAATCTGTCTGCACTTCTGTCTCCCATCAGGACTAGAAATACAAGTTGGAATATATATGCTTGAAATACCAGTTTCGTGTGGGCGTGTGATATTTCTTATCGCTTGCCAATTTCCTGATTTCGTTTAGACGTCCCTCTCGAATTGTTTATTAAAAAAAGGTTTACGTAATAAGACGACACAATGATGTTTATGAGTTTTATATGAGAATTAGGTACCTAATTAAAAACTGTTGTTTACAAACACACATTTTCCGTTTGTGAGGTCATAGGACGCTTATCACAAGTTTCCTCTTAGTCTAATCTCCGTTCTCTTATTCTAATCAAGCGTTCTGTTCATTTTGTTCTTTCGCTCTAATATAGAAAACGCGAGTAGTAGAAGAATAGAATAAGAGGAAAATTATTTTGTAAGATTACAGCAGATTCAAAACGGAGATCACAATCCTGAATTTTATTAAGTATATATAAACACATGGAATATCACTGAATCGAAAGCAATCCAGTTCTACTGAAGTTAAATTGAAAAGCGAATTGATCTCAAATTAATTCAATTTGCACATTCTAAAAGAATTATTTCACATTAATATGCGGTGTATAAATTTGTTTGGAAAAAAAAAAAAAAAATAATAAAAGGACGCAAATGTCTTTTTATTATATATATTTGAACTTCTTTTTTTTTTTTTGATTGGAGAAATATTTCAATATTATTGCATTTCGTTTACGTGATTACGAAAAATGTTGGACAGTCAGTAAATTGCAAATTTCATTACTCAATGATACAAAAACTTAATTAATCTGTTATTTTATAACAGCGAGAATGTTTGGAATCGCGCTACAGTTACGCGGTTTGATAATTAATGACAATTAAACATCATCGATTAAAATTGCCTTTATAGTAATGTTTATATGGTCGAATCCGCCGATTCCCAGAGTTCTTCATGAGAATCTTGAGAACTCAATTTCAATATTTCAATTAAATTTTTTTTTATTCAATTTATATACAAATTTGGTTTATATTTCTAACATGATATATTAAATTATTTAGATTTTTAATAAATACATATGTTATAATTGATATTACACATATATTTTGTTTGTCGTATATAACGTATAATATATATATATATATAACGATATTACATTATATATATATTATATTTACTTTATATATTTTCGTTATATTCTTTAGAAGTTCAATCAAAGTCAAATACACATAAATGATATGTTATAGCTCAACTTTTTATCAATGAAATTCCATCTCCAATTCTATCATTACTAATGAAGGATTTGGGAACCGACGGATTTTCAAGGGGAACACTAAAGTCGAGATCTTTATCTGCGATCTCTATATCTGTGATGGTCACGAGAAGACCGATGATTGCTGTGCCGACTGTGACGACTGGCTGTCCTCCACAGGAATTCGTCGACACTCCTTTCGTAGCTACGCTTCTCTAGTGCCGACACTGTGGCGTTGTAATCTGGAGGCAATGGTAGACCATCGTAATATCTGAAAAAGAGCATTCCCATTTAATCTTATGTCCCTGATAGGAAAACCTCTCTTTCTTTCTTTCTTTCTCTCTCTCTCTCTCTCTCTCTCTCTCTCTCTCGTTCGATTCATGCTAATAAAATTTTTACTACTTACCTTGGAGGTGGAGGAGGTGGTGGCAGATTATCGTACGGATGTGGGTAAGGCGGTAATGGAGGCAATTGATGTTGCATAGTACGCATGTAATCTGCCACATAAGCCTCTGCAACTGCAGCAACACCCAATCCAGTTCCATAACCCCTAAAAAAAATAATTATCACTATATATAGTAAGCGATCTTTTTACAAATCGTGAGAATTTATATTCTCCTTTGAAAAACCCTAATTTTAATAATTTTTGCGACGTGAACTATGTTGTGTGTGTGTGTGTGTGTGTGTGTGTGTGTGTGTGTGTGTGTGTGTGTGTGTGTGTGTGTGTGTGTGTGTGTGTGTGTGTGTGTGTGTACGTTACAACATTAAATTTTAAAAATTCATATCTATATTGTATATTTATCATTTTAAATGCCATGAATGATCGATATTAAATAATCGTACTTTGTGTAAGGTGAATCGCCTCGATTGAACCATGGCGTGTACCGGTAAGAATGATCCCTGGAACTCCTATGATTTCCTGTAACATCCTGAGATCTAGCCAGTGATGCTAAACGTGATCTCGAGGTCAAAAATAGTTTGCGCCCTCGTCCACCTCTTCGTAAAAATCTAAAACTGCCTATAGGTCTTTTGTCGCGATAACGCGATGACTTTACAACATGTTTCCCTGCTTCCTTGGACTTTCGCAAGATAGGCGTCATTTCGATTCCTGTAAACACGAATAGTATTTATATGCCACATGATTTTTATTAATATAAAATAATAATTAAAAATATATAAAAAATATATTTATATATAATTTATAAACACACATACACACACACATATAAAATAAGATTTGATAAATACTCATATTTTATTAATATTATTTATTAAGATATGTTTGTATATTAACAAATACCTTCATCTTCTGGAAATAATCTGCACAATTCTTCAGCGACTCTGGGCTCGATTTCCTGGCCGTCCCGACCGATCTTGACTTGTTTACCATCATTCCAAGGATTGTACAAGTGTAATGTAGATGTAAAAGGCAATTCCTTCCTGCAAATCCAGTCAACTTTGAATACGCCACCTAAGGCCTTTGCTGATAAGCCAGGAGGTAAAACCTGAAATGCATTCCACAACATTGTTTCTCCTGTCTTAAGACCTACTTAGTGAACAAGAATATAATTAAATAATATTGAAATCAATGCTAAGTTGTTATATTTTATTTGCATACCCAAGAAACTGGACCAGCATCTCGTCTCGATTCTGTACTAAGTCTTGCAAAGCCAGCGAACTTGCCTGATTCCTTCACAGAAAATACCAGCAAAACATTTCGTGATTCCCTGTAGGCTTGATTAAGATTTGCTTCATTTTGCGGCAGTGTGCTCCATACTCCTTTGGCTTTAGACAGTGTCACGTTCTCTGCATTATTGGACTTGATGATGAAAAATCTGGGAAAAGAGACTCGAAAATATTTACGTTCCAAATCTAGATAGTTCATTAAAAATATATATCTGAGTGAGTTAATATATTTTTAATGAACAATATATAATTTGCAAAGTGTCTCAGACTTCGCGTGACATACGTCAATAGCAGATTCCTGAGATAATTTCAAGACAGAAATCCTAATATTGAAATCAAGACTATACACATAATTTTTTAATTAACAATAGTGAAGATATTTTCAAGTATCAATTCTATTGTTTTCTATTCTTCTAAAAATCTTCACTGCTATACAATGCGCCATGTCAGAGCGTGTGAATTTCTGACAGTTCAATTGGCTGACTTTAAACCCTCCTCATTTAAAAACTATCGTAGCCTCGACATTTTATCAGGACATTCGTTTCGAAATGATCTCAGGAATGGGTATCACACAAAATCTGGGACACCCTATATATAGTCCATTAAATACTAGAAATTAAAATGCCTAACGGTCGAAGTTGGATCTTTATAATTATATATATAATTCACATTGAATTATTTAAGCATTAAAGATTCAGTTTTGACCATTATAGGCATTTTAATTTCTAGTATCGATTGCGTTCTCACATGTACGGTTTAAAATAAGATAGTCTTATAGTCCATTAAAAATACAACTCGTCGAACCTTGCGTCTCTAAACAAATAATTCAACTTGGTAGTGTAGTCATAGTTCTTGGTAGTGCCTTTGCTGTCCTTGGATCTAGCCCGCTTCGGTTCGGGACTGGACGACTTGGAGTCTCTGGATCTACCACGTTTGCTCCTGTTTCTCCTGCTGCGCTTATTGTCACCGCGCGAGGACTTGCTCGAGACCGAGCTGATGGTGGGATGGGTGGTGGAGCTGTCAGAGTTGGAGCTGCTAGAGGAGACCTCGCTGCGGGTGTCATACGTCTCGTCCGCGGCGATCCGTAACTCGTCGCCGTTGTCGTTCTCGCCAGAGCTGAGATTCAGGTTGTCGCCATCCGTATTGCTGCCCATGGTCAACTACCCGCACTGTTCCCAGCTGTTGCCGGTTCAGGCGTCCTGCAACGTACAGACAGGAAGGCTTTATTATTTATGGTCACTGAACCACGCAGAGACTGCAACTCTTGAGGAACGACGTATCATAACGTTTCTCGTACATCTTACGACAATAATGCGGTAGCAAGGGACTATATAGTGTACAGCGAGGATAGTTCGGGGATTCCGAATTGAGCGGAAAGTCCACACTGTCCCGAATACTCTCTCTTAAAGCGCCTAACACAAACCGACAGGGACACATGGCCGGACTCGGGCACGATTTCGAAGAGTCTCGGCCGGAGGATCTGGACGGAATATAAACTACGACTTTTTTTATGAACAGTCCTTGAGATTATTATGGCAACATTCTTTTTTTATTTTGCGGTAACACAGAGCAAGCTCGCACAGAGGACGCCGGTTCTATGGAGTCTCTGAAAGCACGGAGGAACTTTTTTTTTTTTTAATCCGGATCGCCTCGTCCTAGTTATTTATCCTCTATGCACACTCCTTCAGCAAGCAGAGGTTTAGTTATGGACAGATCTTACAGCATGACAACCGTTTTTACTTTACGCGTCAAACACGTCAAGAGTCCGTCGGGAGACTGTTTACTGGGTCTTACTTCTCTCTTTTTCTTTCTTTTTTTTGCGTTTTTTTTTTAAATATTTAAATATCTAGAAAAGTTCGTCGCAAAGTGCAGTTTAAACCACTAAATACAGAATTCTTGTCGTTATATGCTCTTTCTCTC